CGGTCATAGCAATGTCCAGAGGCACCAGTTTAGGTATTGACTCGTTGCAGTGCTCTGCACACACACAAGGAAAAGACTGTTCCACTGTTAAAAAATCTGCAAGGCATATAATAGTTCAAATACATGACTCAATCAAAACTGAGAAACAGGAAGTGCAAAGAGAACAGGGATGGTAATACTCAGATTACACAATTAGACGGACTAGACTGTGTTTAAGTAAGTGCCACATTGGTTTTATCCAGCTTCTTTCAGCCCAGCTGTAGGATGATAGCAATTTTTTAAATTATCTGCATCACATAATATTGGATGCCAGATCTCCTCTCTTGGTGGTTGGATTTTTTCAGGTTGTTGACAGAATTTGCAGCGCAGAGTGAAGGACTGGTAACAAGAAGCATTCATCAAGCCCCTGAATTTTTCCTGCAGACTTTGTAAGTTCATCTGTTACGCAGATTTGTACAGTTACTGCATGCACGAAAGGCTTGAGTGTTTATGTGTATTTTCAAAGACCTGATTGAATCTGGCAAATAACTCCAAAACTACTCTTCCATTATGCACTGAACAACCTAAACTCTGTTTTGTATCTCACATGGACTGCAAAGGGCCGCATATGAAATTTAGCTCTACGTAACAGAGCAAAGGTCAACAAAAGATTCCAAGACCCCAAATATTTTTGGGGAAGAAAGACTACTAAACTTAAAAACAAAGATAAAAGTTGATTATTTTAAGTGGATCACCAAGTATTTAACTGTCGATCATCCTGTGATCCTCAGTAGCAAGTATTATTTCTAGCATCACTATATTTTTTTAAAAATAGTTTGCTAAACAAAGGACCAAATCTGAAAGAGGAGGAAAAATGTAGGTTTATTCTGCCCTAAGTCCCTGGACATAAATATTGTAGGGCTATACACCTCTTAGATGAACAGTACATTTGTAAGGGTGTGGTTCACAACACTTTTGAACTAAGCAAACACCTCACCACTGCTGCAAGGAGGAAGTCACCTTTCCTCTCCTTCCTCCCCTCCTGTAGTCACATGGGCTGCCTCTGCAGGTTCTTCCAGATCACAAGGTGAGCACGTTCAGGTGACTAACCCAGAGAGGGGAAGGGGAGATTGCCGTTTTGCCGGATTACTTTTCTACTGTTTTACTGAACTGCATCGCCTTATACCAGAAGTGCAACAAAGTGACAGAAAACTTGAGCCAGGCCACCGACCTTCCCTTCGTGGCAGTGGCACGTTGTTAATTAGGCTTGTTTCGGAACATGAAATCTATCCTAAGGAGCATTCACTTGAGTTTGGTAGCAAACACATTAAAACACAAAATATTTATGCATTGCAAGGACACTATTTAGGTTTGAACTTACAGTGTACCATGTTTGTAACAGGCTTTGTGATCAACCTGACTTGGTGGGAACAGACATATGCATGACTGTTTGAGAAATTATTGCTATTATGGTTCTCTTTTGTAGTCACAACAATATCACACAGTTTTTAAGAACTAAAATGCAAGATCAAACATTTGAGAAGGGAACTAGTAAAAGTGGTGGCTTCCATTCCCGTAGAAGTATACATCCGGGGGAAAACAAAACAAAACAACTTAGTTTTGTTTGTGAATGACAGAAGTACCTCACTTCCCAACATTTAGACCAACAAGTTGTAAGAGATTGTGTAATTGTTAACAACAATCCAATTACCTGCCCATTAATTCCCAAATTCCAGAAAACCCTAATTGCTTCATAGATTACATACTCACTCGTTTATGGAATGATAGAGTTTTGCAATGCCCTGATGAGTCCAGTCCTTGCCAAGCTGAGGGAGGATCTGTCCTAAAGCATCAGACCTAAAAGCAAAATCAGAGATAGCTGATACTAAAGTATATGAGTTTTGTTAAAGACAACCACTAATGAATATACAATTTATAATGAGCATTTACAGAAATATCTCTGCAGAGGGTCCTAACCATTTCAAAAGAGAATTAGTAACTACTCCAGAGAGAGCAACTAGTGGGGCCATACAGCACAAGTCAGTTTCCAAGTTAACCTATGGATGCTAAACCTGGAGAAGGTTAACTGAACGGGCAATAGTCATATGGTAAACATTATCGCCCGTGCATTATTCTTTTAAAAGGCATTTTCTAGTATGCTGTAAATGCAAGTACAAATTGAAATCAAAGCAACAGGTGTTTTTCATGACTGTTAATGAACATCCTTTAATAGCCATCTTAAATCAAGTTTCTTTATCTTATTTTGAAAAGCAGGATAGGATCAATAAAGCAAGATAAAAATATCAAAGAAAAGAAAAAACCCAATGATACTTGCTTGGTTATTGTTCCATCGATGTCCGATATGATGATTTTATCATTCCAGTTCCAGAGATATATTGTTCCCGCGCAACGGCAAGTCCCTTGATACTGAGTTGTAATACTAAACACAACATCATTAGGGCCATCTCTGAGCTTCAACTTGGCCTTTAGAATAAATCAAAATAATTGAAAATACAAGTTGTCCCCACTATAAAATTTTTAGAATCATAAATGAGCTACAGAAAATGGCTTGTATATTCTTCCTCATCTATTTTGATTAACTCATCAAAAAGTGAACCATGGTTTAACACTGGCACAGTTTTGCTGGTAAAGTCTGTTTTGTAGTCTGGGTACATGTTATTTGTCCATAGCTCGTATATCTGCTTACAGCAGCACTGACTGCAGTAGTAATAAAAGATATTTGACTCTCTGCTACTTTTAATTCTTGATATTACAGTAGACTTACAGTACTTCAAATGGAACTCCCAGTTTGCTCTAGTATGCAATAGTATTTTCTGCTTAGTGGATGCTTTCCTCAAAATTCTTCCCTGATGAAGATCATATATTTAGACAGTAGCAAAGCTAACTTGTAAGTTAGACTGCAATGAATAAACTGCATATCAATTTAAATGTACATTATTAGACTGTTAAGATCCCAGGATATCCAAACTGCACAATGTCACTTTTTTGGCAACATCTTAATATAGAAGTTTAATTATAGAACATTGTAAGAAATTATTATTATTTTTTAATCCAAACACAGATTCTTAAAAAACACAACAGGAAAAAAAAAATTCCCTGTAGTTGCCCACACTACCACTGGAAAATACTTGAAATCCCTTTTTAAGTTTTAAATTTCCCCATTCCTTTTTTCTACTGCTAGAAAAGTAACCCAAAGATCATTTTTTACTTTGTTGAATGTACTTATATGTCGTTTCTAAAAAGCGGAAACTTTCCAACTTTCAGAATCAAACAGAGTGGAATTATGAAGCATCCTGTGTACAAGAAAGGCATGCCACTTACTATTTGGTCCGAAGATAGTCTAAGTGACTTCTTGTAAGATGTAAAGTTCCCATGGGTTGGATGCTCTACTGGGGCAGAATCTATTTTCAGGGATTCCTTCAACTCCTGTGATGCTTCATCACTAGAAGAATCATCTTCTGGAGGTCTAACATGACATCAACCAGAATAAATGTAAGCTACGGAAAATCCTTCTTGAACTGCGTAAGATTCTTATGCAAGAGTGATTTCTGCTTATATTGAGGATTTGCTACTAGCCTGATAGCACAGATTAATGAAGTCCATGGTCTAAGTGAATGCCTAGATAAAGCTAGCGTATGCCAATAAGCAAATAAGATTTGTAATGCATGCTAGTATTGGTGGAGCTCTAAATATTACTATTACTAGCTGGCTCCACGCATGATGAGTTTAGTAAAGACACAGTGTCAAGTGATCACTAATACTGTGTTGATGAATTAGGTAAACTGCAGATGAAAAAGGGATACTGAATGAGTAACAGCGTTTTGTTTTTAAAAAAGCTGCCACAGCTACTATGTAATTTAAACTGTGGGTGATAAGTTAGCGGAGTAGCTCACCTTTTAAGGTTATTCACAGACTTATTTCTCTGCTGATTAGAGACTTCAAGATTAAAAGAAGCATTTAATTTCTCTGAAGTATTTAATCAAGATATTATTTAGTTTCTTAAATCTTTAAGAAACTAACAACACTTACAAGTATTTTGTAAAAACATGGGAGAATATAAATATGCATAATAAATTATCTAGACTGGGACAGTTTTGTGCTAAATACTGCTAGTTTTCAACCACAATCTTGGGCAACTTGTGCACTGTAATTAATGCTATTTTATTGTTTCAATTATTTAGTGTTACAAAAAATTGCACATGGTTTAAATTATTCATACAATATTAGGCTTTTACCAAAAAAAAAAAAAAAAAAAAAAGAATGACGAACAATATCTCAGAAACAATACCGCTATATTTACAGAGTAGTGGCCCATTGATAAAGGTTACCATATATGTCTCTCTTGTTCTGTCAGTTATGTTACTATTTAAGAAGTAAACACAATAGGATTTAGGAAATAATTGTAGTGTATTTGTAGTTCCTACAATGTTTCCTGCCACATTATTTTGCTGAATTGTTTGCCAAACACATATGGTTTCTCTTCAGTAGCTTAGAGGAAAATGTTTCTTCCCACAGTAAATTGCTACTGAATTCTTCATTAAAAAAAAAAAAGAAAAAAGGAAAAAGAAAAAAGACACTATTCAGTCCACAAAATAGTCTTCAGACAGGAACACACCTACTATTAACTTGCTCTTTTATAGTTGCTGGCAGTTCATTTGCTATTTGCGTCTCAGTTTTCCCCTCTTTTGCCTCCGGTATCTAAAGCAACATGATAATAAAAAAACATATTGACATTTTAAGCATTTTAAACTAATCCAAGTGAATTCATAGTTCACACTTAAGCAAATAGCTATCAATATAGTACATAAACTATATTAAGTCTCAGAATCGTTCATTCTGTAAATTATTTAACAGAAGGATGCTTATGAATAAATGATCCATTAAAGCTTTTTATTATTTCAGGAAACAAAACTCTGCATGCCAGAAGTTGAGAACTACTAGTCAGTCTAACATGATGAATTTAGCATTAAAGGAGCTGTCAACCTCTAAGCTTATAAAATTCACTTTTTGGGGGGGGAAAGTAAATTTAAGGCACGTACTCAAGATTTAGAAAGCTTAATTTAGTCTAAAGTGGGGCGTCTCAGCATAACATCTATTATGCAGCACAGCACCTACTTATTCACTTGTGTACACATCCCTAAAACATACTGCAGTAACTCAAGAGTAGCTCTGACAACTGCTTATGGCTTAGAAGAAAGAATTTTAAGAATATTGTGCAAGAGATGAATAAAATAAATTTTGTTGTAGCAACTAGTAACAGTGAATAAAGATGTGATATTTAAGACTAAATATACAGAAGCAGCTACAGCCTCTGCAACACTGAGTAACTCTCAGCTGGCAATCAGTGACAGAGCTACATGAGCAGTGTTCTGAGGCACTTCTGACAAATTACAATTTTTTCATTTTTTAACAGCTCAGGAAAGGGGGTGTGTGTGTGGTGTCAAAACAGGTCTCAGTTACCTGTTTAGTCATGCTTTCTCTCTTGCGCCAGAACCACCACCTTCCAGACTTCTTTGGCATCTTTTCTTTGACCCAAGACTCAACAGTAGCCTGAAAAATTAGGCATGTTTTTAATTTGTACAGAAAAACAAAATAAAGAGATAATCATGTGTTACTACATACAAAATCTTTTAAAAAAGTATACATGTATCTATTTACCTTGGGCAAACTCTTCTGAAACACCTGCAAACTCAGAATCATTGGAGCTGCCAACGCCCAGTTGTAATACCTGTTTTAAAACATGTTATTGATAAGATATTACAAAACCTGACTAGAGGTCAATAAATATCAGTGTGCAAACTGCCCTTTTGTTGATGAAAATATGTATTTGCTGCCAACAACTAATATTAAAGTTTTCTGCAAGCAGAGTTATTTTAATATATACAATTCAACATCAGTGGTAATTGCTGAAAAAATCTCCCTTCAGTTAAAGCTAAATTTAATGCAAATCTTCAGTTCAAAATCATTCTCTTTGAGACTGAGAAACAGATCCATCAAAAACACAAACTGCAATGGAAGCTAAGAAATGCACTCACTTTAAAGGGTAGATTTTAAATGAAATCTTCTAATCTTAATTGCATGATATAGAGAGTTTACCTGTTATAAATCCTTATTACCAAATTAGGATTGTCTATGAGTCCAGGGTTTTCAGCAAATTCATGATAAGTAATAATATGTTCCATGAATTTTTCTGCAAGAGAAGCAGATTTTAATTAAAAACAATAATATAAAATCCCAAGATGTCCGATTAGTTTGTATCTAGGAAAACACTTTCTGTCATTTCAGAGACTTTGCTGATCTTGCAGCATCACTCAAGATATGCTAATATGGCCTACCTGTCAAGCGTTGTGACTGCCCCCTCAGTAACAGGGAAAGCCTCATACCACTTCAACAGTCACAGTAATGAGAACTAAGGAATTAGAAGAGGAAAGATAAGGAGGAGGTAGGAACTAATTCAGTTCGCAGGCTGGAAAAAGAGAGCCATGCTTGTCTAAGCAAGTTTTCTTTAAAAATTATTACGGCAGGTAAGGGGCCTACATACTACACTAAAAGGGGAGGGGGAAGGATGTTGTCAGCTTTTCAGGTTTGTTTAATCACTGACTACTAATAGCATTTTAATGACTAGTGACTATACAAGTTTGCAGAAATTCATGTAGTGTAAGACCCCTGCAAGGAAGACATAATTTTTTCAAATCAAATCCAATATTACTACCATGTTACCAAGACAGCTGTTCTGAGCCTTTATTAATAAGCATTTAAATTTCACTTGATGCGTTAGAGACTGGACGACCATTAAAAAAGTAATACTAAAGTCACTGCAGTGTATGTTCATGAAGTTCATGTGCTCCTTAGAAGCTCCATCAAAAATGCATACAACTTCAGTATTAAAATTAACCAGAGCATTAAGAGAGAAGAATCAGCTGGTAAAGTCTAAAGGTTAACAAACATTTAGGATAGGAAAAGTAGAGCAGGAGAAAAGATAGTCCAACACAACAGTCAAAGTTTTTTTATTCACTTAAAAAAAATAAAAAAGAAAAATTATCAGGCAATTGGAAATAATATAAATTGTGAAGATTTATATAGGACTAAGCAAGTAATTGCAGCCAGAAACAAGAGTGGTTGGTCAGATATGGAATATGTAGTGTAAAAAAGGAGACAGAAAGCTTTTCAAGACATCAAGTGCTCTTGATTAATTTGAGGTTAAATTCTGCTATCTCTCCTTGGCAAATGCTTGAGAATTTTAGAAAACAAAAGATTATCCATTCCTTTTTCTCAACACGAGCATAGTAATAAGCCAAAGCTTTGCAAGGTGGAAATCAGAGCATTCAAGCCATTTCATTTGTTTAGCTGCCTGAGCTTTAATACTGTTTATGTTTTAGTCTTTCACGTACCTTTAGAAATCTCTCCATTTTCATTGAGACCTCCACAAAGTGAAAGTGTAACATCAGGCAAGTCCATAGCAGAATCAGACATGCACTCTGTACCACTATCAGCAGCAGCACTTCCTACTGATTGGGGTGACTGGGAACCGGAAAGGGTATCTGACTCTGTCCACTGCCTGAAGCCTGGATCTGAATCACTATAGAAAAGAAGCCCACATTTTCCGTAAGTATTTCTATTGCAAAAAAATGTATAGATTTTAGGTTACAGAACACACTACATGATTATTCAAAAGAAAAAAAAAAACCTACATCATTTTACAACATAATTTCAAAACCAACCAAACAAAAAACAGACACAAACACACACACCCAACCCTTCATAATACTGGCAGATTGACACTTTCCAGTTCTTCTAATATTCACCTAAATTGGGAAATAATTACATTTCTCTTGCCTGCAACAAAATTGGATTTAAATGAGGAAAAGATCCTCTACATTCTACTTTTACAGAACACCACTATGCTCCTCAATCTTTACCAGAAAGCTGTAGAATAAGAATAAAAGGAAGAAGTACAATAAAAAAGAAAGGTGGCCTTTTAAATAAAAAATATCACACTGTCATCTAAGGTTAGAGTTATTAGTTTGATCCCAAGTAATGTAATCAGTAAGTACTGAAAAGTTTACAATGTTAGTTTTAACATAAACCAATAGACACTTCTTCCTTATTAACCTGTATTTTTACAAAGGCCTTCCTAGACAGTTATTCTTTTGGAGAGTATTTTAGGAGTATAAAATGCTTTGATTTCATAAAAAACCAAACAAGAGTGAATTTTGAGACTGAGCTGCCTTGCATGAAGATCTTGTGGCGTTTTTTTTGTTGGTCTTTTTTGATAGTAAAAAAAAAAAGTTGGGAGGGATGTACAGGGCATGCAAAAAATAAACTGATGTGTGCTTATCTAGAGCTAGCAATATGGCAAATAGAATACTAATGCAAAAGGATGTGTAGTTTAAACTTAAGTCCGTCCCCCCCCCCCCCCCCCCCCCCCGTTACGCCCCCCCCCCCCCCCCCCCCCCCCCCATATTTGCAGAACATACAGGTTCCACAAAGATGAAAACTCTCAGTAACAACCTCCCACATGATCTTTCAATGTGTTTCTTGTCAAATCAGAAACAGATTTTCACAATGAGATCAGTACTGATTACTCCACAAAAGCCTAGAAACCTGAAGTCCGATTCTTTTAATCAGAACTGGTGCATAAACACCTACATCATACAGTAATAGCTCACATAGCGCAACTGCAATGTAACCCTAGATCCACAGAACCTTAATTCAAAATTACCTTTTGGGAAAGTAGAGTGCTGCAACTTCAGGTTCCAAAGCCTTTAGGTCCTCCAAGTAAATATCGTCAGGCCCCTGATGATGACTTCGCTTGTGCACCCCTGTTAATTTTAACAATTGAGATTATTAAGATGAAGCTATCCAGACACATTAAACACAAATGTAATTGTGGAAGATTCAGACTTACTTGTAGCATTTATAAATCCTAGAGTTTAATTATAGTTTTAGTCAGATAAGACTTTAAATAGCAAAAACTGAAAAGGCACATTTATACTTTTTCCACTATGGCCTCAAATTTGGTAGATCACACTGAAGGAAAGAATCAACAGCTTTATTATATACCTTTCTTTTTTGAGGGAGAGTCAATTTTTGCTGTTGGCTTTGTTTCCGGTAAAGGGTCCACCAACAGTCTGGAATGATGATCAGCATCTAATGGCAACGGATCTTGCGGTTCTATGATTGCAGAAGCAAGAGAATCTTTAACATCCGTCTGCTTAAACAGAGGATGAGTTCTTGGCTCAGGTTTCAGTACTGTACAGACAGAATCTTTCACATCATCATCATCTTCAACTTCATCAGAGCTGAGGATGACCCTAAAATGAGTCTTCTCTGATGGAGTAATGGTAGCTGTTCTGGGATGTTCCAGTTTCTCTTTTTTGCTTATCTGAAACACAAAACTCTAGTCAATCATTTCACTTCACATGTTTGTTTCATTCTGGTCTAAACATTAAACTTGTACTCATGGTACAAGTCCTGGTCACAAGTAAACCAGGTAAGAATTTAAACATGTATTTTAGCGACATCAAACATGTCCCACCTTATGAGCAAAGTTCCCTGCAACAGAAACTTCATACTAGCTTATTTACAAATTCAGTAAAGAAACTGGCATAGAGGAAGTGCTGACTTGACCAAACCATGACAAGAAAAAAGCATAAATGTGGACATACCAGGGCTTCTGTCACCAGCTGTCATGTTAGATACCAAATTTACTCTATCAAGGCTACAATTCCTCTGGAATGAACTAGAACTTAGCCTAAAATAAGGGAAATTAATTTCTAAAGTTGCTTTCTTCAGTTTCTAACTACAAATTCAAAAATTTCAGATTTTTACTGCTACATTTTCTGGAATTACTTTGCTGACCAGCTTTTGAACCCAAGAAATTCGACTGCCAGCCACAAGGGGGTGCTACTTTCCTATTTCAGCTGAATTATTCTGAAGAACAGGAGCAGATTTCCAATCCTCTCTTAGGACACAATTTTAGATATGCCAAAACTCAGTTCACAAAGTTATAGACAATAAATAAATTTACCTTGGTTGATTCTGGGAATCCTCCCCATGTCCATTCCATGTGAGATTCAGATCTGAGCAAGCTCTCAGCAGGTTTAACTTCTAGTTCTGAATCACTTTTAGGGCAGACTGGCTCAGAGAAAGCGCTAGCAAATCAACAAGAACCAAAAAAAAAAAAAAAAGAAAAAAGAAGAAAGAAAGCTACAGTGTTTAAAATGCATTTGTTGTGCAGCTACTGTTGGTAGAGTTTTCTACAGCTTAACAGAGCTTCAATTATTCGGCAACATGGCAAGAAGCCCAGCAGGGTTTTCAGACAGTGAGAAATTAGGTTAAAACCAAAATCACGTTAAAGGACTTATATAGCGATCACCCTAAACAGATTCCTCCACTATATCTACAGTGCAGGTATAGCTCTCCCCTCAGCCCATGTTCCATTTTTCAAACAAAACAGAACAAAACAAAAAAGTTCATCTAAAAGTAAGACAGAAATTAGCTTTAAGTTCCTTTGCTCTGTAAAATATAGCTTTTAAGCTTGCTATGCCAAGACTTGAGTAATAGAAGTCCTGCGAACCTAACTCACAAATGCACAAAACACCACCAATTCCTGATGCGGGGAAAACAACACTAACAAGATAACTTAGGAGAGGGAAGGGAGATTACTTGAAAACTTCCTTCAGATGTGTTTGGACTCATGACATTTTAAAGTTCCATCCTATTTTTCCTACAGTGGTTATTATCCATAGATCAGAAACAGACCTCTGAAATTTACTTTAGCCAAGACTACTTTTAGGCCAAAAGAACTCACCCTACAAAATGCTAGAAAGGTGTGATTTCAAAATCATTTTGCTCTTACGATCTTAGGGAGGAAAGGAAACACAAGAGGTTGTTTTGAAGTAGCATTTAGTGTTGGGACAGGTCCAAGTCTATCCTTTCTTGAACAGGGCAATTATATTACATATTATAGAAATGCTGCTCTTTTTATATTTTGACATTCATAGAGTATTTTGGTTTGGTTTTTTTTAAATATATATATAAACCTCAATATTTGAATTTGAATTGTAGGGACCAGAACTGGACACAGCACTCCAGGTGTAGCCTGACCAGCGTTGAGTAGAGTGGGACCATTACATCTCTATCCCTGCTAGTAACGCCCTGCAGATGCAGCCCAGGATCCTATTTGCCTTCGTTGCTGCAGCAGCACACTGCTGACTCGCGTTCAGCTTGCTCTCCACCAGGACCCCCAGGTCCCTTTCAGCACGGCTGCTGCCCCGCCACACAGATCTGAGCCTGTACTGGGCTCTTTGGTTATGTCATCCCAGGTGCAGAACTTCACACTTGTCTTTGCACATGTTGCACCAGGAGGAGTTTCATCTTGATGTAAGAAAGAAATTTTTTTACAGTGAGAGTAATCATTCACTGGAACAACCTTCCCAGGGACATGGTCCCCATCACAAGAGGTTTTCAATTTGTGACTGGACAAGGTGCTAGATTAATCTCATCTAGTCTCCCTTTTCCATGAAGGTTTAAATAACCTCCCATTCCTCTTTCACTGTACAGTGGCTACATTATAGAATCTTTCTTTGGTGACTTAGGAGAAATAAATTCATGCAAAACTTCTCTTCTCCTAGATGGCTCATGCAAGGGAGAATCCCCTGCCCAACTCTGCCGCTCCCCTTCAAGAGGGAAAGAAAAATTGCCAATTTCTCTGTTACACTGCAGTCTGTACTGGATAGCTTCTTGTTAAAAAAAACCCAAACCATAACTATAAAGAGCCTAGGTATCTCACATGATGCACAAACAAGTTGTTAGAGCAGACTATCCCCTACATATGTAATCAAGAAGAGAGGCATGAATCATATCTCCCAGATATAGCCTGCTAGTCTAGGTTAGCTTGAGTTTTATAAACTGAAAAGGAGTATCAGCCTCTACGCTACAATTATCTAGGTGATATAATACATACAACACCATGCCAATCCTCAGGGTCAAACACTGTGACTGCTTTTCAGTCACAAACCACAAACCCTTGGGGAATATTTGAAAACTACATCTCATCAAGTACAATTGAGGATGTGGTTGTCAGCCCAAAACATAAAAAGGAACGATAATGGGATTTCCTGTCCAACTGCTTCTGTTCATTAACAAGCTATGCACGGGGGGAATTAGCAGGCACCAAGCACGGTGTGGTACATTCAGACTCTACTGAAGCCACAGCCCTGGCAACACCCAAAGCAGAGAGATTATATGCACTTCAAAAAGTATTTTCTGAAGCGCTCTCTTCTATTCTGCACTACCATCTATTGATACAGAAGAACAGGCACCTGTGCACTGAGCAGCTAACATGCAACAATGGATATCACACAAGGCTGACCAGTAATCCTCACTGATACTGTGAATGTATCTGCTATGAGGTAGAGTCCCCAATCAAACTGAAAAGCAGTAAAACTAGACACTCACCAAAGAGTCAAGATGAATCAAGATACGGCTCAGCATGCTATGTGCTATATATATGCCCTTCCCTATGCCCAATATTCAGGAAAAGTATGAAATTTACCTCAAGTACTACCACATATGGACAGAATGCTTTCTTATGCAAATAGAGATTGGTGTTAGAGTGGCAAAATCCAAAGGGTGAGCCTTGAAAAATCTAGAAACTGAATGCAAGAGGAATATAATAGCATGAACATCAGAAACTGAAGAGCTTGAGTGTATAACCAGAAGTGCCCTAGTCACTGTAACTGAAAACTGACTGGCGAGCTGTATTATGTCATTTGCAAGAATCCACAATCAGCTGATACTGTTTCTGGTATCTCTGGGTTAGTATTCCAGTAACTACAAATCCTCTGTCCTGAAGTAGAATACGATTCAAGTTGAGGACCTAGCTTCACCTCGAGTAACTTGCATTATTTCACCTGGCAAATTCTAACTTACATACTCAACACTTCTGCTTTATGGCATATTAAGTGTTGCTTATGCTAGGGTTAATCATAGGGAACATTTGTTTTCCACACCCTCCCCAACCTAAGGAAATCTTATTAACTACATTTTCTTTTTTTAACAGTGAATTTTAATAAGAAAACTTTTTTTCACTTGAGGGGGGAAAAAAAAAGAAAAAAAGACACAAATTTTGTTTAATACATACAGTAGAGAGGAAAGTTCCCAAAGTTCCAAGTAAGTATCAAATGCTGCATTTGATATCACAAGTTAGGCATGTTTGATAGTTTTACAGATCAGGGGAAAAAATTAATTAAAAGGCATATTAATTTTTTTACTAATTATTCATCATTATACATATGATGACATTACAAAGTGACTTACTTCTCCAGAGGGGACCAGTCTCCATCAGATAAGGGGTAATGATCCTTCGAGTGATAAATCAAAGATTCTTTTTGTTCTTCACCCTTTGGTGATGAATTTGAGGATCCTCTGTGGAGATACATGGGACATTAAGTCAGCTATAAGAAATATGCATTACTAATTCAGTTAGAAAAGTTACTTGTACATTATTAAAAATCCAAGATCAAAAGAAAGAAGTGTATAGCTTAAAGAATTCACTGTTTGCAACACACCTTTATATAACTTAAAATGTATATAAAAACTATTATTAATCCTGGAAAATATTGCAAGTTTAAAAATCTACTACTCTTGACACATAGTAAATTAATATTGAAGAAGTCACAACAGCATAAGTGGTACCACCAGCCAGCTAATATTATCAAAATCCAAAGATAAATAGAGATTTACACATAACCCTTACTACATAAACCTTAGAAACACTGAAAAAGCTAAATAGAAAAGGTAGTTTTGACAATGTGCTTTACAGCTGCACATTTCACAAATTAAAACCAGTAAGAAAAAAACAGGGGTAGGCACTAGCCTCACAATTTACCCAAGAGTTTACAAATTACCATAAACTACGACAAGTAGCTAGAAGGACTGTACTCTTCTGAACAGTGGGGTTTGTTTTGACTGGGAAGTCTACTCAATAACAAAAAAAAAACCAACAACCAAACAACCAACAGTAAGACCCTTGTATTGTATTTTAGACAGAAGTCCCTTTTAAATACTTCTATCATAAGTACTTCAGATCTTTTTACAGCTTTCTGAATTTAACTGAATAAATAGCTATTCTCAGGATACAACTAACTTGTTCTGAGGTTAGATCAAGGGCATCACGGCTACACAGTGGATAGAATACAAAGGAAGATAAACCTGGAATTTGAGTGTAAAATGCAATACAAATTACTTTAAGCCATTATTATGAAAGAAAAAAGAAAAAGTATTTTTCTTCCATTAGCAGCATGGTTGCACTGGACTTCTTTTGAAATGCTAACACTAATTTATCTTACGGATGGATAAAAGATTTTAACATTATCTATTAAAATTCATAAATATTTAGAATTTACACGCTTACTCAATACAGCCCATTAGACCCTAAGCAGTTACACTGATCTACCTAATTTGCACAAGTCTTTAATTTGGAAGACAGTCTAGACTATGTTAAATACTGAACCCTAAAAATGTCTTAATAGCTCCACTTCTTATTCAGAAGTACTATTATTATGAAACTTGATGATGACAGCTTGTCTTGAGATGAGAGCAGCAGAGACTGTACATCCTTTGTATTCATAAACCAAGCTAACTGTGATTGAAATATGTTTCATACTATCTTTGTCTGTATCCAGTGCTAAGTTATCTCCAAAAGAGGAAAAAGGTATTATTGAACAATTAAGTAAACACATTAAAAAATTATTACGGAGACATCCTCAATATTATGACTTCAGAGGGGGGGCAAGATGACACACAGGTGGTACTGAACAGATTTTATTCACTGGGAATTTGTGACCAAGTGAGTTCATATGAAGCACCAAAAAACTCAAATTTCATCCGCAAGTTGATAAATTTGAAGTTTAAAAATCGAAATGCAGTCAAAGATTATTGAAAATAAGATGGGAAAATCAGTATGCATCAACTTATAACTTCGTGTTGCACTATCAATTCTAAGCTATTTATTTTGCAACATTTATAAACCGTGTTACCACTTTTTCTCATCCTTATCCATTTTATACATGGTCTAAATAAATATATAAGATTTTAGAGACAGGTAACTACTTTAACACCCTTAGCACTGGAGAAATAATGCCCTCTATTTCTGAGCGTACACACTGTAATCTCAGTCCTCCTGGTATTATTTTAGGTAAGTCAAGCACTACTAACTTACCTAAATCACAGCTAGAAAAGACAAAGGACATATTTTTTAAAAAGTTGCATAAATACTTGGAAATGGATTTTCCCAAGGAACAGGAAACAGCTCGTTTTTCACTTTATAAGAATAGAACTAGATAAGACACTACATACTGGTTGGTACCTGTGGCTGAATTTTTGACCTTCCTGTTGGAGCATGAGCCTCCCTTTTCCTTTCCCAGTTTCACTTTGAAATCTGAAGCTATGTCTAATAACAGTTAGTTAAGTTTCTCTTCCCCACCCACCAAGAGCCACACACTTATAACTAAAAAAAAAAACCCAACAAAAACCAAACCAAACAAACCTGCCGATATCACCTTACATCCCCACAGGATGTGAAAAGAAAGCTTATGAACATTTTTTCACAACAGTATCTAGCTGGGAAGAAAACAGTGTATGCCTATTGCAAGGCATTTTATTCCCTGCCTTGGTAGGCCACTGGAATGACTGTATATGAACTCCATTAACAGATACATAGCCACAAACCTACTGTCTCTGGGCTTCCATTACTACAATGTATTTTTTCAGTCCTGCATTTACTTGCTATTCACAAGAAAACAGCATTCTTTTACAAAGTCTTCTTCCTTCCACATCATAACACTCTTCTGACTGAGAATGCATTTCTACTGCTGCTTCTGTTTACATATATGTAAAAAAAATGTGATTTACAAATAAAACACTGGGTGAAAACAGCCATTATTGGCATGACATTCCTAAATTCTTCATACACTTGTAATAATTTATTAAATAAAGAATAAACAATTCATGGGTTATATTTTCTTTCTTCATGTACTTGGTAGTTATTTTTATTTTTGACTGTTTCACTAGGACAAGTTATTGTTAATACTCTTACACTGAAGACTGAACAAAGATCTTGCTTTTCTTAAACTGGAAAAAAAGGAAAAATCTCAAACCAAACAAAATGCCAATTCCCAGACTTAAATAGAGCAGCGAATATCTAAATGACAATTCATTGACATAAATATGACAGTGAAAAAATAAGGCAAATTAATTAAGAAAGCCACAGACATTCTAGAAAACACTTTAAAATCCAAATTTTGTTTGTTGTGTTTTATCGGTCATGTTTTTCTGTTGCACTAACCTTTCTGACTGGTACTTATTAAATTTGAGACTCCCTTGAAGACCCATACTGAAGGGGTTTTTCAGTTATACTTTATTCTCTTATACCAAAACATTCTTCCAATTCCCAAACCAGATCTTCAATTTATTCAGACAGTACTACATTTAACAGTAACGCTGTCCAATAAAGCGGCTAGCTTTGTCTAAAAACCAAGTCCACCTCTTTTGCTAAGAAGCCTAAGAAACTTCCACATAAAACTGATGCATAGGCCTTTCTTGGATTTTAAGCATTTATATGCTTGATAGCTTTCTTCTATTACTATAATATTTCCTATTACTCATATAAACTTCTTCAGCTTATTAGTATGTGCTACCACTTTACCACAAGCTCCACTTTACTAATAGTTTACCCACTTCAAAATACAGGACTGATTTTCCCCCCCCCTCCTTTATGACTACACACATGTAAAGAGTTCTTTTTACTAATGTGAAGGAGCATTCATTTATGTAGTTTTCAATTACCAAAGTAAACTTCAAGTTACAGTGAAGTCAAATTCAGATGTGGTGTACTACAGGCATTCCACACTGCAGTTTATGTAGAGGTTACCAAACACACCAGAAAACCACTCTGCCTCGTCAGAAAGATTACACTGAAACTTCTTCTCAGTCACACAACAGATCATGACAATGCTTCTTTACCAGAATGGGCTTAATTGGGTTTCCTGTTCATAACAAAATGGCCAAACTTGAAGGATTCTGTAAAGACGTGGAAGATAATGGTTTGGAGTTTTGTTTGTTTGAGGAAAAGCCTACTGAAACTTATGCATTACTTGCATAGAGGAAAGGTACAAGTCACCTTTTAAATGTTCAGTGATAACAGTGAAAGCAGTCAGCAAGTATCTGATAGTTTACCTTAGGGGTTGAACACTTTTTTCATCATCTGTGCTTATTTCCATTTCAAAAATCTCTTCTGTCCCAGTAGAAGAGATCTGATCTTCCTTCCTGCTATCTTGTTTGTATTTCTTTCTTCTCCTTTTTTTCTTTTTCACAGAACCTGGGGTGAATACAGTCTCTGTTTCCACAGAGTGTGGAATTTCTGAGTTTACACATGTCCTCTCATTTTCACCTGATTTCAAATGATTGCCAGTGTCTTTAAAAAACTGGTCTTCGGTGGGTATTGGAGATGTTGCCAAATATGCAGGAACTTTTTCCTAAGTAAAAAAGAAAATAAAGAACAGACTTTTTTTTTTTTTTTTTACTTTGTTTTGCGCATACAGGATAGTTGTCGGCCATAGGTTAATCCTTGCATCTATATTTAGACATGAAACCATACAATAGCCCAGTGGTATGAAGCTGATATCCAGAAAGGAACCAAGTTCACTACAGGGATTACAAAAAGTTCAGAAAAATGAATGGTAGTTATTTTTACAGTTTCAGACATAAACAATTGATTTTTCTAGCAAAACAAATACCCAGTCAGTAGAATGTTTTTGAAATTATCTGCCCTTGAGCACACCAGTTCTATCCATGCTTAGTAAATGTGTTAATAAAAATAGGCTAATTAAATCCACTGCTGTCTATTTATTTTGAAACAGATTTATAGAAAGGTATAGGTTGGAAGGGACATCTGGAGATCATCTGGTCCAATCTTCTGTTCAAAGTAGGGCCTCAGGCTAGGTTATCCAGGGCCTTGTCAAGCCAGATTTTGAGTATTTCTAGTGAGGGAGAATTTCCCTCTTGTGCCCTTTGCCCCTTGTCTTATCACCAGGCATCCTTGTGAAAAGAGTGCCTCCATCTGCTCTATGACTACCTTGTAGGTATTGAAAGACTGTGGTTAGATCCCCCTGAATCTTCTCTAGACTGAACACAGCCAATCCCAGCAACCTTTCTTCCTATTTCAACTTCTCCAACCCCCTGATCATCTTGGTGGCTCTCCGCTGGACTCCCTCCAATTTTCCACGTCTCTCCTGAACTGGGGACACCAGAACTCGGTAGACCAGAACTGTGTTCCAGGTTTGGCCTAATATATACTAGGTTGAGTGGGACAATCCCACATCCCTCCATCTGCCGCTCGCTTCCCTGCTGATGCAGACTAGGACACATTTGCCTTCATCGCTGCCAGGGCACACTGCCAGCCTTTACAGCAGAGATGCATTTCATCCAGTCAGACCCCAGCCTGTACTGCTGTGTGGAATTCTTCCAACCCAGATGCAAGACGTCACATGTATCTTGGTTAAACCTTGTGTGAATCTTGTTGGTCCAGTATCCCAGTCTGCCAAGTTGGCTCTATGTGGTGGCTCTTTTTCTGGCCTGTCTACCTCTCCTCCCAGTTCAGTGTTACCCACAAAATTGGGGAACGTGCAGTCTTGTCATCCATGTCAGACACTGTTTATGTAAAGTATCTTTCAAAAAGAAGAACTCAACTATAATTTACTCATGTTAAAACCAACAAACAACCTTCAATTAATTACAACTCACTGTCCTTTGAAGGAACAATTCAAATGAAGGAAAAGCTTTACCAATGGACTGGGGTTTATTTACATTGTTACAAGAAACTTGAAGATATTGACACCTAGACTGAAAGAAACACACCGTGAAGGGACAAAGACAAAGCAGAACAAAAGTAGAAGTGAATGGAATTTGCATAGCGAGGAGAAAGAGAAAAAGTTATGGAGCTCAATTTCATGGTAAGAATAGAACTAATTACAAGATGCCTGTTATTTTACAGGACACTCATGCAGAAGATCAGTCAGGAATGACACTGTGATCAGAAACAGACAGAGCACTGATACTACTTTTGATGTGTTCAAAGTCTGAACTGCTATTATTTAACATTAAATTCAATTTTTACATTAAGAATTACAGACCAAGTTTTGTTCCACTGGTTGTAAAGTAGAGAGAAGCAGAGAAAGGAGAACAAAATACAGCCTTATACAGCACTAATGACACACAGATTTTGCATTGTGAAAAACTTCCAAATGAGATGATAGCACCTAAAATAAAGTTAATATTCTATACAATTAGTGATAAATAATCCAGAATAACAAGACAAAATTAAAAAAAAACAGAGGAAAAGTTAAAAGAAAACTGGCTGAAAAATGATGCCTGAAAGTTACGTTATAATAGTCCTGATTTACATGAATTGAGGTGTGGTGTTACTTCTGAATGTCAAGATGTGAAAACAGCAAAGACTGACCACTTGAAAGTACCTTTCTGAATCCATCAAGAACTCAATGAGAGCTTTATCGTTTATCCCTTAAGCATAGCTTCAAGAGGTGACCACAAGGACACGTTGATCAGTAGCAGAAGTACTGAGAAAAAAAAAAGTCTAAAAGCACTAAAAACAACTCAGTCCTCTGCTTTGTAGCTAACTTGATCTATAGTTTCGGTATGAACTACCAGCTTTCCAGGACACATTATACACAGATAAGGCACTCTCGTTATAAATTAAAATATACTAAGCAAGCGCAATAACTCCTTTAAAACATTGTACTGGGGACAAAGGTAGTGGTTATCACCCTTGCTTTCTGAAAGTCTTAAGAGTGATCAGTTCCCATCAACGGCTGACACAGCCTACGTCTATAAAAAACTGCTTTCAGTTTTGATTTTAATCATGGTGTATGCTAAAACAAAACCCAACCTTCCTTTCTCTTAAACGTTATGAATCCCTACCCTAAGTTATCATTTAGGGTCTTAATGTTTATTTTCTCCTTCCACTTCAAATTATATTTAACTCCTTTCAAAATGAGAGCTTCCTCTAATCCCTCACAGTAAACAAGTAATGCCCTAAACTAAAAAGTGGATCAAGCTCATTTCCTTGAAAGACTTGACTCCTAATAACAACAGGAAATTAACACTTCATCTTTTACTTCACTGAGACAATTTTTTTTCCTCTCTCCTCTAACTGACTATTTTCATTACAGCTTTTGGAACTTTGTATTTAGAACTTCTTTCCTTCTGTCTTGCTGAAAAATGCCAACAGATTCAGAAGTGATCAAAACCAAAGCTCACTGACTGTGATTACATAGGTCCCGTATCCTTAGGAAATCAGACTAAAAATGAACCATTATTCCTGTTTTTCAGAGGCTCATTAGCTTCCAGTTGCAATAAATTCTTGGGAAATTAATTACTGTATTATAATAAAAGAAGAATTCTCAAGTCGAAGAAGTTACTGTTAACTGGTGAAAGTTTCATAGATAAAATTGTGAAAAACTGTGCTAAAAATTATAAGACAAATTAAAAATATGCCAAAATAGACAATCTTTATTAGTATAGAGGTCAGTAGCACAAGCTATAAAAACTTAAGTCAAAAACTATTATAAGGCACTGCAATTTGTATAACTGCAGTCAACAAGAATGAATATACTAAAACAAAGTAAAAAAATATTCAACAAATCTTTCAAATAATACTCTAATAAAAAAAAGAATTAGTTACTTTATTATCACTGGTAGCAGAATTGTACAAGGCACCAAGCATCTTGGCAGCACATGAAAGTGACATTAAGATTCAGCCACAGAAAATCTAGCTTTCATTAAAAGTTACAATATTGACAACACTATATTAAGCATTTTTGACACATTACTCTGTTAATACTGCATATACTGCATTGCAGCCATCATGAAGCACAAAGCCCTTACATTTTCCTCCTCAGTTTCTTGTACAAAGAAAGCTTCTCCATTGTCACCCAGTTTCATATGAAGATCAACAGCATCGCCATTAATTTCTATATCAATCTGTGGAAAGAGAAAATTTAATGTAAATATTTCGTCACAGGGGAAAGCACTGACCTCAAGTATTTTCCTTGATTTTCCTGCTCGTGAGTTTATGAGGATATGACATAGGACCACAACCCTTCTGCAACCATAGTGCTTTCGTCAGAGGAAGAATGTTTTTATTCTCATCAAAACATACTTTAATTTAGATTACATCGCACAGGAGGCAGAGATTACCCTTCCTCACATGTATAAAATAACAGAAAAAAACCAAATGTCTTTCTAAGACCAAGATACAACTATTTTGCTTCCTCCTCTTTGTGAAATCTTGGGCATCCAGTTAAGTTCCATTCTAAATTTTTCCAAACAAAATGTGTTCAATATTCAGATAAAAGTACCTTATTTTTCAGTAAATCTGCTGATCTAATGGTATCTGTATATCTGCATTTAGCCTAGCTATTTAAAAATAATATAACACATGTCAGATAGAAACACAGTAGACTTGCCTTACTGCAGAAAATGCCAATGGCATTTCAGGTTATATATAGTTTAGACACTTTTGTCAAAAGGAGACCAAGTTAAATAATGTAGTTGCTATGAGATATCCAATATGTACATTACTCAAGTTCTAGTTTCCTGCCAATACAAAAGAAAAAAATTACACCCCAAGCCATACAGCTACTATTGCAATATGAATACTCACATTCTTATTTAGTTATCGTGATATGAAATGGCCAGTCAAAAAGGAAAGAGGACTAATTCTAAGATTAGCACATGGACTGCCAAGAAAAAAACCCCACCACACAGTGCTAAGAAAGACAGTATCCACGTATCCTAATCCACTCCATTATTCGCCCATTTATGAGAATAAAACCATTAGCCAAGGAAACCCAATCATTGGAGATGATAAATTACAGGTAGATAACCAAACATGCACAGGGACTACAGCCAAATCCTTAAGATAACAGCTTTTCTTTTTCCCCACGAGAACTGAATGGTTTTGATCTGAAAGTCGTATTTATTTCACTACTGAACACAGTTTATTCTCAAAATATTTTCTTGAATTTCCAATCCAGTAACATGAGTTTTAAAAAAAAAAACTTACCTTAGTGTTTCTTTTTTTCAACCTTTTCTTTATGCTGATTTAGACAGACATCCCTAATTTTAGTACCTATACCTCACGCTGGTTTCTGGAGACTTCAGTATGCATCTTAAGTATAGAGTTGAAGCATAGATATGCATATTTTGTGTTCCCATACATCTTGAGACTACCAATTGATCTTAGCCTCATAACATGCCAGAGAAAAATGTGTACGCAACACAGTAATAAACATTCAATTAACTATTGAGAGAACACTCAACTGCAGGATGGCAACTCCAAGGATGAAGGAAGTAAGAAGCAGCAGCCATCCACTCAAGCAAAAGTTGAGAACTACACTGACAGCCTAGTACAGCAAGTACCAAGAGTAGATGTTTCTACTATTCAACAGCTTTTTAGAGGTACCCAGAAGCTGCAATCCTCTCAAATTTGGTTCAGCTTCTCAGAAGTGTAATTAAAGACATTTAGCAAGCTCAAGTTTCAGATCACTCCTGTTGTAAGTGTATCTCACTTGCTTAGACATTAGAAAAAGTACTGCTATATCACCTCTCTTGTACCTTGCTGTAAAATGTACATTACATTACAAAAAATGTAATGTAATCTGTTGCAGATTTGTTAAGGAAAATCAACTTTTTGTCATCAGTGTACTCATTAAGAAAAAACACTAGCAAGTGGGAAATCAAAACAAAAAAAAGAAACAAGAAAACAGCTGCTAGCCTGTGTTACTATGATCAACTTACAACTGTAACGCATGTAACTCCCAGTATGGACTGTTAACAAAAAAAAGCCCTAACATAACTGCTCTTTTAATTGCACTTTATTCTCCTTTTACAACCAAAATATAAAGATGGGGGTAGTTTGCTGCAGTGTCCTTTCACTTCTTAGAAAAGCAGCATATAATCCTGAGGTTTTATGGTCCGTTTAAATCAATCTACCCTTTGGTAGCACACCCACAGGCAATACTGCCATACACAGTACTCCCTACTGACAGTAATGTGAAGTCCCCCCACAATAGGTCCATTTTTCAGTCAAATTTACAACCCAATCCAACTCACTCCCTAGGCACGATTACTAAAGCCTATGGAAAGGGGATGGCAGGACAATCTGCTCGGGTAGCGCCACAGTCTCAGACTGGCTGAACACGGAATTGTACCAGGTTCTCTTTCAAATACGCCCACATAGGAATGAAGCTTCAGTCCCAGTTTTTATTTGCTTGTGGATATTAATAACTGCATTTTCTACTGCATATTAGCCTTGAACAGAGCTAACAAGGAGTAATATTTATGATAGGTCACCAACCCTTAAGGCATGCTCTATTTGTCCTCCAGACATTCCAAAAATAGTTGCTTGCAACATCAGGGATCAGTTAAATGGCATTAAGCATTTCTTCCCCAGCATACTTAAATAAGTAAATAACTAGCCATGTAAACATTTTAAGACTGTGAAGATATATGTTTGTATTATTCCTTTTGCATAGCTCAAGAGCTGGCAAGCTTTTCTTTCACAGTATTTTTTTTGCAGAGTCCTTAGATTACCACAGGAAGTTCTGTTTTGCATTCCAAAACTGTCGCTCTGTACAGCATACATGAGAAACTGCTCTGTACTAAATCAGCCTGCTAACTGGGTATGTGGGGGCTGGGGAAGGAAGGAAGAGGGGAGAAAAGGGAATGCATTGGTATTCAAAACTTTGTTTTGGCCCACTTTCTGAACTTACCACTTTTTCTTTAGAGCGCAATACACCAAGCTTCCCAAATCGGACATGAAAAGGAGAACACTGGTATGTACCATCCTGTTGCCGGACCACAATGACATCAATGCATCCTGAAAGGGTTGCCTGATTAATGCCTTTGTACAGCTCCTTCACAGTAACCAGGACTTGTCCTGCAAGTTGTCCTACGTAGTTCATAGTCTGAGACTAAGGGAGAGGAAGAAGGAAAAAAAGTAAATAAATTTAAAAAACATAAAAAGTTTTTTTCAATCAATTTTTTAAAAACATCGAAATAGATGTGCAATGTCATTCATCAATTGCTCTGATGATTTTTAACACAAATGCCTTGAAAAGCGAGCAGCATTTTGAGCCAATTCTTATATTACTAAGTCTCCAGAGTTATAAAACCTATTCTTAATAGTTTATCAACTTGAATCTATGATTATTTAAATTTTTAAAGTAAATTTTGAAGTATGTCATTTTTAAACCCCAAAGCCTAGATACAATGATGCTTAATTACTCAGATAAGCTAAAAAGACAAATTCACTCTCTGAAGACTGCCTATTTAATACAACTGATCCTCTATTGAAAATTGAGATAAGGATGCAAAAAAAACCCCAAACCATAAAAAAAACCTTAAAAGTCAGGAAAAGCTATGTAGAGTGTACTACATGTAACTCTTCCTTTACAGCTCTGTTTTTTAAAAATGGCTGAGTCACCTTAAAGAAATTATCAAAAGATCTAATGGAGACAAAGGAGTTTGAGAATGAGTGTGGAGAACACAAATACGGAAGAAATCCAGTTTTCTTCCTATATAAGGCAAGCACACCACCAGTGAATTTATTTGGCATGAAACAAGTACTAAAACTTCTTGCAACATAAAAATCATGAGCTTGTAAAAGCCTTTCTTGAAAAGCACTGCCATCAACCTTCAGAAGCTAAAACTGAGATGAGCAAGACTTCCACCTGTAGTAGGTGATGCCAGATACTCAAAATTACTGAGACTCTTCCATTAACTTTTGATTAAATAAAACTACAATAAGTATCATCTATAGTTACAATGTATATGTCTCTAAACAGCTTAACGAAGCTTGTAAGTACCTATCTTCAAAACAGCTGCTGAAGTAAAGTTTGCTCTGCAAAAACACAGTGAACCTAGCAACGTGACCTTGTCCTGAACACACTCCTCGTCCAGGAGAAGCAGACTTACTAGCTAACAACCATTATTTCCACAGAAATTACACCTAAAGAATAAACGCTAAATTCCAAATACATTTTCATATGTGAAAAGCAAGTCTTAACCAAGTTTACACACTCATGCAATGTATTATTTTAAGTGTAAAGAGTTATCTTGCCCACTACTTTCCACAGGTTTCAAAAAGTTTCAGTCAAGAGAAAACAAATCTTTTACAGTTTTTTGTGGTCGTTCATATGCCTGACATCAGAAAATTGAAAAAGAACAGTATGTAGTCTAGGTGAAGGAATCTTACTAGGTAAGAGTGGGGAGTTCAGGACAGAATACAAGGAAAGGAAGATGCACACAACAAGAAGATTATGCTATAGTCAAAGATAAACAAAGAACATGTAGAATTACTTATCAAACATGCTGTCTAATCCATTAAAAATACTTAAGTGAATGAATGAATTCTGAACGACTGCAAGTCTTTCAGACTAAGAATACAATGTGAACTATGACTGCCAATAAGAAAAGAACTCCAAAGATTTCTCAGAACATCGGAACTTTAATAGAAAGAGGAGGGAAAACTGTGAAGGTGTTCTAATGGAAACCTAAGTGCAACCCTTCCTCATTCTGCTGTCTCCCACCTCCCACCCAAAAGCTCATTTCAAATACATCCAAGCAATCGCATGCCTCTGAAGTTAAGGGTATTATTTGGGAGAACAAAGAGCCACTGCAAACAAGCGAAACACACAACATGGAACACATAACAGGGCTTAAATTGTAAAAATTCTATTTTGTGATAATATTTCTAAAAAAAAGTCTACCGTCAATTTATTTCTCTATTTGCTAATCTATTTTTATTAGCCTCTGAACAAGGTTTAAGATTTTTCTTAATGCCTCTAAACAAAACCATATTGCACTACAGGAATTCTTCCTCCTAATACTACTTTCATTATCTAGGTAATTAATCAATTATTTCTGTTCTGAGCCTTCAAAGTCTTCCTTACAGTAACGCAGGATATATTGCATTCATTCAAAAGGAAGGTACTTTTGTAGCATCTAACAGTACCAATATAATTGTAAACACGCAGGAAATCTAAAACTACTTTCACAGACTTAGAGCAGCTACAGAAATTTTTCTCTGTTTCAGGCTTCTCAAGGCTAATGTACATTACCTAATCATATTTAGATTTTTTTAAAAAATTCCTTCCTCTGCACAAGACTTAAAAAGGAAGAGGGGGGGTTCCAATATAGGTTTACAACTATTTCGAAATTATCCACAGAATTATTATGCTAGGTGACACACTAGAGAATTTTCTCCCATAGCTTTGTACAATATGGTTGATGAAGACAAAAAGAACAGACTGTCACTGAGTGACTAATGAGACTAGCTGAATGGACTCCCTATCAACATTAGTGATTAATAAAATTCAGTTTCATCTCTAAGTAGCTTCATGTACAACTTTGAAACTGACTGCTTGCTAATGAAATAATAGCTCACTCTTGCTAAAAAGGGGAGGTCTCACTTTAACCTTTCCTCATCTGACCCTCTTAACAAGCTGATTTTAGCTCACTGACACAGCTGGCAGAAGTCTACCCATTTTGTTGTCATTGTTTCAGTGGATTAGTAAGTTAGATTAGCTCAGGAAGAAGAACATGACAAACACCAGAGAGTCATGAGGCACACAGCAGCACCAGACAGCTAGGAAAAAAAAAGGCTGAGGCAGGGAACTGAACATCTTCCTTCTGACAAGTGAGATATTTGCTGCATCTCACGGAACTGTAACCCAAGACAGAAAGGTAGCAATATCTCTGCTTTACTGTTTAAGCAATTAGTCTTCCCCTACAATGACAGTCATCTTTCTTCTCAATCTTAGGAAAAATTCTCTAACAGAGTCATTATCATTCATGGCTATACCTTGGCCACTTCCAAGAGGAGTCTATGGTACCGGCTTACAAAGAAAAGTTGATTTCATGTCACCAAGGAGACTGAATTTGTTAAAAGAAATGTTTGGCACAATCAGGAAGAGAAGTCCTTAATAGATTCTCCATTCCATGTATTTCATTTCAGTGAACAGGACTTGAGAAGTGGACATTAGCAAGGTGTCCTGGTTTCAGCAAGGAATTCTCTATCATTTAAGTAGCGACTGTTTAAAAGATCAGAATTTCACAGCAACTTCTAAGAATTGAGTCCAGTTGATAAATAATCTAGTTTTCCTCACATACATGCTAAATGACCTTGTCTAACCACAAAAAAAACACCAAAAAAAACCCACAAGACTGAAGTGTTCACCTGTTTTACATGTATTACTGCTTTCCTGTAGCAAAAGTTATCTTTTATAGATCTGTTACATTTCTGTAGCTCACAGCACAGCCACTTTTATGATCATACATAAACAGAATAACCTCTTTGTGTGAAAAAGTTACGAACTTTTGAACCTACTGAGTATTAAAAACAAAGTTTATAAGGAAAGAAGCTTTTTATGATCCAAGTCTTAACACAAACATTGTTTTGTACATTGTAAACAAACAAAATTGTAGATCAGAAACTAATGTATATAATTGCTTATCAGGTTGTAGTTCAGCTTTTAACATAACGGTTCACTTTGTAATATAAACATGTTATTTAAGACGGTTCAAACTGTAGCAAGCAAATAATCAAATAGAAGACGACATACCTCAGAAACATGCGATGTTTAATTTATCTCAAATGTCAATAGAATCCCAGCTAGGACATTTTAATTTTTTTTTTTTTTTGCTTTAAGTTTTACTGTATTTTGTTGGAAAACTTGTGGTGAGTAGTACTAAATCTGACTATAGAGAGGAACAGTGTAAAATGTTATTGTGTTAATTCTTGCAAATGCAATAGAAGTAGTCTGATCACAGAATAACCGGTAAGACAAAGTATTTCCTCGATAACACTCTTCATTTCATGCTTAGTAAACAAATGTCATTGTCCTGAAAGCAGAAAGAAGCAGAGAGCAGTATGCCTTCATAACCTGGTATAAGAACCTAAAAAGCATGCCAATTTCTAGTTCTGCAATTCAAGACAGAAGTCTGATGGACAAGACAAGCTAAGAAAGGGCAATGCAGCAATATTTCACAACACTCTTTAGCTTTTAAGTTTTATTTATTTTGATATCCAGAGTATATACATTACCTGATGCAGTCAAATTCCAGAACTCTGCATAAAAGCTAATGTAGCTCACTACTACTTATTCTTCCAGGATAGCAAATTAAAAGGCTATCAATACCTAAGGTCTCACAGCAGAAAAACACTTTTTTTTGTGACTTTTGAGGCTCCAGAGAGATTGATTTTTGAATGTTTATGCAATACTATGTAGTTTGCAAAAATTCTTATAGCTGAATATATTAATACTACTAAGCTAAGTGCAACTGTAATTGGAATGGGGGAAAGGATCTCTCTCTCCTATACCATAAAAAAGATTTTTTTCTGGCAAGGAGCCATTACACTGCAAAAGGCAGAAACTGAAACAACGCTTTTTCTCTCCCCTTTGTCGTTTTGAGAGAGAAGCATAAAAGTAAATACAAAATAAGAAAAGAAAATATGTACTTTGGAAGTTCAAGAACTAAAAATAAAATTCTGTGCCTCCATCTATAAAATACTCAAATCAGTTAAACTAAAATTAACCCTGCATATGTTGGTTGACTTCCTCATGTTACAGCAATGAGGAATAGAATGACTCTCAGAAATAATGATTAAACAGTACTACAGCTCAGATTAAGTATCTAACATGCTCTACATGATAGACAGCCAAATTTTCAAAACTCATCACCAGGAAATGCTTACATTAGCATAACTTGAGCAGGAGGTTTTCTGGATAGGAATTATATCTATGTACTATTAACAGAGATGTTATTTTGGCTGCTACAAAACCAACATGTTTTCTTGAACAATTTTTTTATGTTATTCAGTAATATCCACATAAAAGTGCAAGATATAATCAAAAGTCTGTCACAAATTTGCATTTTCTGTGCATTTGGAGCACTGCTTTAGTAAAGGTAAACTGTGGTTTTTGTGTTCTTAAAGCCAACACCTTTTATACAGGTGCACCCATATGAACACAAACACTACAAATGCCCAGTTCAACAACAGAAAAACAAGAATGCAAGTTACTCCAAGGCAAGCTGTCAGACTGCTCTAGAGAGACACAGCTTTAGAGGGCATGAATTTTAACTATCGTTGCAAAAAAAGTTACTTAAATGTAGATCTTAGCTTACAAGAGAGTAGATATTTGTCCATCCCATTTATTTTGAGGTACATTTAGAGGATTAAAAGATAGTCTAATGCCACATGATGTAAACAGTAAAGAAGTTGCATTTGTTTCAAAAGATTAGGTAGAAAAACAAAATAAAAAACATGCATAGCAATGGTTTCCCTCAATTTATCTCATCTTGCCTATATTTGCATGTATATATATTTATGAGGCAGGAGCTTTCCTTAACCAGAGAGAATCTTTAGCAAGTATTTTACTAGTTTTTACTTTGTACCCCAAAAACACTGGGGGGAAACAATGACCATGTGAAACAGGACCACTGTAGCACCAGGTCTACTCAGCAAAAACAAGCAAACAAAAACACCTTTGCTCCTAAGGAAAGATTTTAATTGGGGTTTAGGATTGCTCCTAGTACTGCACAGAGCACTTACAGAACAAAAATGGGAAACAAAGTAAGTTTGTTGAATGCCTAATTAAAATCTTCCATATACTATTAAAAATAGGCAGTCAATTTTTATATATTTTAACTGTGCTATAGGAAATTATATGCCCACACTTAGCAATAAATCTGTCAAACTCACCAAGATTCCAGAAGGAACCCTTTCATGGGCAGCAACAACACTTCTATTGAAGTCATCTTCAAAACCAACCTTTTCTGAGAAATGCATCTCAAAACAAGAAACTAACTTTCCACAGTACAGGTAAATGCAAAGCTTACAGCCATAACAGAATGTTGTATCAGCATTTCTTCTCTTTCCATAGAAGCAGAAGAATTAGGTGAATCTTCTGGTCTCTTAGAGAAAAATGTTTGGTATACTTTCCCACGCAGTATTATGATTAAAAAGGAAGTGCTTCTTTAAGAAAGCTCACATAGAAACTCCCTTACCAACAGGCTTTGCTTGAAATGTCACAGCCCCCTTGCGCTCCGAGATAAGTAATAACATGGGCAGACTTTGCCATATGTCTGCACTGATAGGTAATGATCTTGTTTCACATCAGGTCATGTGACTTCAGCTGAAGCTCCCACGAAACAAAACAGGGATTTAGTTAATGATTCTTAAGCAAAGTCTACATTAGCTCACTTGCAGGCTTTTCGCCCACTGTTGCAACTCCACCTGTAGCAGCATTCAAAGTCCTAGTTCAGCTTGCTGCACACCTAATTCAAGAAAGTCTGCTGCCACTCCATGTGCCTGCTCCCTCCGCTGACGGTTTCACTGGGCTAGCTCGTCACATTTTATAGGACAAATTTGATGACATTTCAGGGTCTGGTGTTTGTGGGCTATCTTCCCCCCTTTTTGAAATTGCATTATAATAGTAGAGAGACAATCAACCTGGTGTCAAGTTTATACTAAACCATACAAAAACAATGCACACCAAAATAAACATTTTTTTCCTGTGGAAATTTTCCTACTTTCTTTAAACTGAATTGTTGAAGCAGTATAATTTGGGTGTGTGGACAATACATACAAGCTTACTGTATACCTAGCTCCATCACTGAGAATAAGAATTCACTTTTGATCTGAGGAATTTTGAAATGTCATTACTTCTCTAAATAGTATCATGGATAGGTGAAATAACTGAGGAAGTGTAGTAGTATAAGGAAACAATTCTACCCCTGAATGGGAGAGACATTCTCTGAGGACTATTAATATTGCCTCAACATACACACATCCTCATTCCCTTAAACCCATGCATCTTCTCCCCACCCCCACGGTGTTACTTTGTCTGCTACAGAAGACTGTGGAGGACCACTACTTGAATTACGAGCTAAAAAAATAATCTAGGATCCTACTACCATCCTCACTCTACCCTTCTCTAAGTTCTGTAAATTTACGCATCAGGCTCTGATGCAAGGACAATGAATCACATTATTGGATGCAGCCAAATGGCTTGTAGATTTCCAAAATAATTAATGAACTACCACGCGAGGCCAAAACTAAATCAGCCTTGATGACAAACTCCTAAATTGAGTGTTGGGATTGCTACATCTGCAGTAAGGTTGCAATAAGCTGCTACCATCTCTGGGCCCTTTTCTATACACTGAATAAGTTCGAATTTAGTGTGGCTCTTCACAGGTGAAATTACTGGTTTTGTTAGCAGACATGAAAGTATTTTCATTGGATATTAAGGCATTACTAGACACACTCAATTTTCCTCTGCTTGTTCATCATCCCTTTATCATGTGTGTTCCATTAAAATATGGTAAAAACCACAGTTACAAGCAGAATGGAAGCCAACTTTGTAAGACAGTGCTTCTTTTCAAACATTTTTGACCTAGCCTTACGTTATTTTTTTTGTGTACAATTTTCTGTTATATCTATTCTATTTCAGTGTTGTTCAGTATTTCAGACTGACATTATTTTCTTCAAAGCTTCTAAAAGTGTTTTAGAAGACAGCCTTTCTAGAATACAGATAAAATTGCAGTCACTGCAGTAAGGTAAGATTTAGACAGGTAATAAACTTTGCATATTTATTAAGCCTCCTTGTCTTTTATTTCTCAATATTAACAAGGTAAATAAAATATAATTCCCTCTGAGTAAGTTTAGGTACTATGTTATTCACTTACAATTTACACAGGAAGATTAGCTTTAGTTTTGAAAAGCAAATAACCCCAAATTTGGAAGTATTAGAAGCAATGTTTTTCATGCAACCTTAATCCAGCTCTTTGGTGTGGGTAGATTTTACTGTGGTTTAGCCTCAGAAAGCACATAGGAGTTTTTTCTCTAGCCTCATGCAAGGTAATACTGCTGATAAAGACCAGTCATCATCCTATGTTCTTATTTTTCCCTCTGCTCTTTGTGGGTCTACACATTTTATCCCATTGCTCATTAGTCAAAATCCCTGATGGGAAGTATGATTCCATTTTTAAATGGTACTTTTCTATAGTAACCTTCATAATATATTTGATTGCATTTATTTGTTTTACAGTATCCCAGAGATGTAGTATTATTTTTTTCACCTATGCAATGGAAAACTCAGGCCAGGAGACCAGGAATTAAAAAGACAGGATTTTTTAGCACAGTTAAAACTTAACTTTGCAGAGCTTCCCTCCATTTTTTACCTCCTTACATATTCCAAACATTGCTTCCATAGGCTACATTTCTAGCTGCTAATCAGATTTACTATCCCAGATGGTCATTACAAAAAAAAAAAAAAAAAAAAAAGGGTTGTTTCCCTGCGAAAACTACATTTAAGGGATTTGATTGTACTGTATAGGAACTGGATTTTCTGTGAAAACTACATTTAAGTGATTTGATTGTACTGTATAGGAACTGTAGAACAAGCGTGGCCAGAACACAGCTACAGGACGTTTCCCCAGCTTCCATCAGTACATGTCATTCTAAGTTCTGGAAGGAAGGAAGCAGAAATCCTATAGACATGAGCTTCTATCAGTACACAATCACAATTCCCTCAAAGATCAGGATAAATATGCTAAAACGAATGAATGAGACAAATCCTTCTCTAATTAACATATCCGAATAGATACGGCAAGTATGGGACAACCTTTGTTCATGTCCCATATGTCTCCTTCACTCCATCCTGCCCCAAATAATTTTACTTACTATCAACTAAGACTTAAGCACCACAGTTTTCGGTCTCACACCCCATCCTGACATTGGAAAAGGTCCTTTCTCCCCAAGCCCCAACTCTGATTCCTAAATTCCACCACACTTCTTTATTTTCATGCACTTTTTACGCTTTGTCTATTGGGTGCAAACAAAGTTGAAGAGTTCCCAATTCTCCTAGAGAGATTACAAAAATCAGACTGGGACTGAAAACACTTTCCTGTGCCCAAGTTCTTGATCCTAGCCCTGGTCTGATGCATCTGCTTACTGAAACTGGAAATAAAGGTCTACTCATTCCAGCTTGTGGCAAAATACATTCAATACAGCATCTCTGCTACTTTTAACTGCAAAAGTCTATCCATTCTCAATATGGACTTTTATACCTAATTCAATTGCCGAAATAAAATAAATTTAGACATGAGTAACAGAAGACATACTGAATGAAGACCATCTGCCTCAGATCCCTTCTGATAGAGACATGAGAATTTTTCTAAGAGAAACAGCTAGAGTTTTTCCTCTAGTAGAGTGGAAGCATACCATCAAGTTTCACTTCTTATAAAAAAAATGAACATACTTGCTAAAATTTTCCATATAAAGGCTGAAAGTGGCTAACATGTAACTTGGAATGAAATTTTCCATTTTAGGAAAGTTATATGCAACTAAAAATCAAGTTCTGCTCAAAAATGCTGGAAAAGACTAAAGGCAGTGTTACCTGCTTTTACCTGCAATTCCCAGCCATTCACAAAAGAAAAATGAAAAAAACCTATCACAAGTAATAATAGCATGGTACAAGAATCCAAGCAATTAATAGATGTTAGAGAAACACCAGTGGTACAAAAGCAATGCATTGCCCACTAAACATGGTTAAAAATTAATAAAATCAAATGTCTGGTTTTCCATCTAGGATGCAAGATGGTAAACTCAATTCCTTCAAGATCTCCTGTCAGGTAGAGTCAAGAGCCATTCAAATTAGAATATTTTTCAGTGCAGCTTAACTATTTTTTTTTATATCCAAGGAAAAAAAAAGATAGCAAGAAAGGAAATCCACAATTTATTTGGACTTGGCCCTTTTGTAATGTGGCAACAGTTATATCTGTATGATCTACCATGAATCATTTGATTCCAGTATTATGGCATCTTTCCTTGTATTAATTTGAGCTTTTTCTTGTTGTTTTTTTTTTTAAAGTTACCTTTTTTTCTGTTTACAAAGGAACTTCAGTGAGAACAAGGAATACTTTGAGTCCATAAAGTGAGTTTTACTGTTAAAATGATCAGTTCAATCAAAAACTTAGGGTACATGCACCCAAAAAGTTCTTATGTGTGTGAACTTCTTTCAAGGTACTGAAAAGAAGTAACCGGCTAATCCAAGAGTGCACCCCTTTGGAATCTACATGGGCATATCCCACACAAGTGCCTGCCACACTTGACATATCTATTTCCAGCAGCACAGACTCTCCTACAGCCACATCATCCTTGGTTGAACTTATTTCTAGACACATACCACAGAAACCAAAGTTTCTGAATAGATATTCCATCTACTGCATTTTTACGTGAGATGAGAGAAAACAGATGAAGCTTTTCATGTACGTTTCTAGAAAGCACTAAGCATTTCCCTAATGAGCAATCCCTTATCTTCCTATTTTCTCCATTTAAAAAGCTTTCTTTCCAGGCACCGATCTGCCTCAGGTGCATTTATATTTTCTTACAACCTTCCAGGATTTAAAAGTCAAAGCAAAAGAACATAGTCATGTATTTAAGCATGAAATGCATCCTTATCTATTAGTGGTGAATAATTTGGTTACCTTTAGAATGGATACATGAAGATCTGAGACTAGTACACATCTTCAGGTTGACAAGAAAGAACAGGAATATACTTATTCTGAGAAATACATATATGGAATACCCAAGAAGTTCTAAATATAGTGTATATACACAAGAAACCTTTTTTTACTTGATAGACTTTCTGTATTGTTGAACTGATGAACATGTACCAAACTAGAACAATATCCATAAATTTAATTTGCATATAAGACTTGGCTATTTTATTAGAAAATCGGGTAAAAATGCTAGTCTTGCAGAATTCCCACACAAAGGTATTCATAGCATGAGATGTTGGGAAGGGGGAAATTAGATAGAGCTGAGCAAAGTAGCATATGCTTACTCATTCACCAAACACAATCTACTTGCATTATTGAGTTTTAATGAACACAGAGATCACATCTGCCTGAAGGATATATCTGTTCACCCCTAGCACACAATAGCATGTCTGCACCGTCTATACAGGACATGACAAACCTGTAAAGCAGCCTCACAGATTTCTTTTTTGTGTTAACATGCACACTTTTCATTTGGGGAATGAACAGCTTTAAGTTC